CATCCAGTAGCAGTACCATGCCGAAATTATTCGATTAAATAACCTACAGATCGGTTTCTAGGTATTACCTATCATCAGTATAGGAATCATCCGACAACAAAGTACCTGGGGGGGATGAATATGTCGAGATTTTATTTCGAAATATTTATTTTCTAGTACTTATATGATTGATTGGAACCGTACTTAGTAATTGAAATAATGATCTGTGTATTTATTCCAACTTGAAATCAGTCACCTTCATTTTGTCACCTGAAAACTAATGAAGCCATTATACGCGACTTTATAATAACCGTGTTCCATCAATGCCTTGGAATGTACTTTTCAATGTAATTTTTATGAAAATGAAAGAATAATTCCTTCTAAGTACTGTTTTGAAGTCATGACTTTAAACCAGAGTTATAAAAAAATTAACATTTCAAATTTGTTGCTGCTTCCATATAATAATGGAGGTTGTGTTCAAACTGAAGCATTTCTGGTCTATTGGTCTAACATTGAACACTAATTCGTTGACGTAAATCATCTACAAGTGCTGATTGAGTTTTATATATTATACATTTCACGTAACTACACAAAGAAGTTGACGCACTCAAATCGGGTAACCTTGTGGGCCAATTTACTGGTCCAGTACGACAAATCCATCTAGTGAGAAAGGTTCCATTCAATTACTTATGAGCACCAAAGGTTTAGTGAAGAGGTGGTTTTTCTTATTGTGATGGTCACTTTGTTTAAGTTTGTCTGTCAGTATGGAACTGACAGTTTATTGCAAGTACATTCATCCTGTAAGATTTCATGATAGCACCTTCAGCTTATCAGTTGATTGAGTGGAAACGCTTGTCCCGCCCCTCTTCGGATGTGAATCTGTATTAATTCTGCCTTTTGTTAGGCCATTTTCTTTGGCGCTATTGTTATTTTGCTTTCATTCTACCAAAATAATCGTGTTTTAGGGGAGAGTGTGTATGAAAGAGCCAGTTTTGAAAAAAAAGTTAACGTCAGGTGATGGTTTTTCAATAAAATTGCTTTATGTAAATAATTAGTTTGAAAGTGATGGTTATCCAATCAAAATAAAATGAGATTCAATGACAAATTGGTAATATGACGACTTGTAAAAAAAAAGGGAAATCGGCTCTTTCAAAGCAACATGTGTATAAAAGAGCTGGGCATGTGTTATGAAAGAACCGGTTTCCTCTTTACTGGAGTAGTGGTTATTTTCACTCATNTTTAAACAAAAAGTTCGGAAACTATTATGTGAAAAGGTATTTTATTCGCTTCAGTCTGATTTGGAATTTTAAATTTTAATTTTTGTATCCCTTTTATGGTCTAAATGTTATATAATATGTCTTATAATTATGTTGTTTTATGATTGTGACCTCATTGTAATTGTACTGAGTTATGTGACTTTTTCCATGCCTTCCCTAGGTCTACGGAAATGAAGATTTTTTGATTTTTGATTTTGATTTGATTGAGTATCATTGATACAGGTAAAATCGATATAAAATGTTGCAATATGAAACAATAAATAATAAAATGACCGTGAAAAGATTCAGACACATTTGAGCATTCGGAGGAGTTGTCCTTCTGTAATACTGAATATATCCAGTTCACAGTTCCTCGCCATTTTGTTAACTGTTTCGAGACATCGTTGAAGAGGAGACAAATTGTTTGAGATACGAAATAGATTGTCTCTTCTCAGTCTTACGTCAGCTACAATAAAATCAATAGTATAGAGAATTTCAGGTAGTTTCAGTTTTCTAAGAATGTTTAAAACAAAAATCACTTCCGTGGACTCACGGCGGTCTTTCAATGGTTACATGTTAAATTCTTGTAATTGGCTAGAATACGATATAAATGAAGGCGAAACATTGTGCTTTCTGAAAAAGAGTGCTCTTGATAATCGTTTCTGGACTTTTTCTATAGTTTCAGAATATAAAAAGGTCTTTGGATTCCAAATGACACAACCATACTCCAGCTTAGAACGAACAATGGAGTTAAAGAGTAACAAACAAGTATCGTGATTGAATTCACGGCTAGATCTCAAGATAAAGCTCATTTTTCTATAACATTCAGATACTAAGTATTCAATGTGCCCAGAGAAACAAGTAAAAATGATCCAGAGATCTTTCATCTCATTGATTCTCTGTAAATTCATATGATTAATGAAATAGTCTTTAATAGTAGGTGACTTCTTTCGTGTGAAACTCATTATTTTGCATTTAGCTTCGTTGAGAGATAGGTCAGATACTGAAAAGTAAGTGGATAGATAATTAAGATCATCTTGAAGCATATCAGAAACTTTTTCGCTTTCAATTCTTCTAAACAGCTTGAGATCATCGGCATATAGGAGGAATTGAGAATGCCCGATATACCGAGAAATGTCATTAGCAAATAACACGAAAAGGAGAGGTCTCAAAATCGAGCCCTGCGGAACTCTCGAAGTAGCGGTGAATTTGAAGGAAGATACGTTGTTAAACTGTATGAACTGTATTCTGTTGGATAGATAGCAGTGAAAAAACTCAAGTGTGTTGTTTGTGAAACCGAATGCTTTTCATTTCAGGATCATAACCTCGTGGTTAACTCTGTCGAATGCCTTGGCCAGATCAGTGCATATAACGAAACACCCAAAAATAAAAAAGTGTACATTAATTACAAAAGTTTGAAATTAGCGCTACAAACTGAAACATGGACCAACATCTATGAACAAAGTGATGTCCAAAGTGATGTCCAAAGTGATATCAAAAGTGATGTGAATTCTTCATCAATAGACTAAAATATCATATGAACAAAAATACAACTAAAATCAAATTGAAAAATAATGAAAAAGTTAGAAAAAAATTAAATTTCAATATTTTTTTCATTATAATATTTTTACAGTAACAAAAATTATAATCAACGGTTTTTTATATTTATTTTATATGCATCATCAAATCATCATATTCCCGTTTAAAGTGAATTTTCATTTGTCTAAAAAAATATTCATCAATTCATGAATTTTGATTTTGTCTCTTTCAGTCATTCAGTTTGTATCCCCTCAATCGTCGCAAAATGCCGTTTTTTCATGGGTATCTGCAATCTTGAGAACAGGAAAAAGTCGCGGGGGGACAAATCTGGTGAATACGGTGGCTGAGGCATGATAACGAAGTTTTTTTTCAGCAAAAAATTACGAACAAGCAATGACGATTCAGCCGGTGCATTTTCGTGATGTAAAAGCCATGAATTGCTTCTCCACAATACCGGATGTTTCCTTCGTATTGCTTTTCACAAGCGGTACTTCCTTATTGACCGTACAAGAACTTTTGATGCACCACGCCACAGTATAAGAAAAAACAATGAACAAAACCTTGACAGTTGATCGAACTTGGCGTTATTTTTTTGGTCTTGGTTCCCCTGGGCTCTTCCATTGGGACAATTGGACATTGGTTTTGATGTCAACCATGAATCTATGATTCGTTATCAGTTCTAACCTTTTTGAGCAAACTTGACAACTGTCAATTCCTGAGCTAGATACTCACCTACAGAGTAGAGCAAGAAGAGCATATGAGCAATGTCGGAGGACAGTGGGACGCGTATGGGATATTTCACTCCGTGTGAAACAGCCATCCAAAAATTATATCAAATACAGCAATTGGCTTGTCCAAACATCACAGGAGCCATGAGAACATCAACCGCGGCAATGAAATTAATTACTGGTCTGACCCCTCTGGACCTGTACTTTGAGGAGGTTGCGTTAATGGCCATATTACGATTGCTCACGACTAGTGTAAACCTCGAAGTAGGAATGGGTCAATCGGGGCTGAGCTTTTAGCAAGAAGCGCTTACTTTGAAACCTCTGCTGCAGGCAACCAGTGATGCAATTGAATCCAGGTTTGTGTTTGATGAATTCTACAAAATACAAATGAAACAGAACACAGAGTCACATGCTGCAAATGCAATACGCATATATACAGAAAACTCAGAAACCAAAGAAGGCTCAGGATATGGAGTGTACTCCAGATCACTAAACCTGAGGATTAAGTGTGGAGTGGAAAAAAATACCAACGTGGTTCAAACAGAACTGGCTGGTATCCCAATCGCCACAAAAGAAATAACCAGGAAAGGACTTACTGGAAAACATAATAATCTGTACTGATATCAGATAAGCCCTATTAGCCTTGAACAGACGTGTTGCCTTAGGGTTCATACCAGAGTGCCACCAAGATTTAGCCTCGGTAGATTTAGCCTCGGTAGATAACAACATCATCCTGAGGTGGATTGTAGGGCACGACAGGAATAAATGTAATCGCATTTCCTTTAGCCAAGGAAGTGGTTGGGACCAAGTGGCATCTACGGCCTGATGACTTCGACAATTGCGGAACCAGCCAAACGTCACACCCATGCTCAATCCCTAAAGAGATGGGATGAAATCAAAGGATGCAATCTTGTCAGGATCACCCTGGGCGACCCTGGGAAGCTGGCGCCAAGATTTCTGACTGGATACTGTCAACTAAGGAAACACCTCCACAATATGGGGCTAGTGGACACACCTCTATGCAGGATGTGTAAACAGGAAGATGAAACTGTCAGGCATATCCTATTACTGGAAGGGGCAGGATGGACGATGACTAGGAGGACAACATTTTGGGAGAATGTAAAGTATGTCACATGTGGTCTGAGTGCTATGGGCCTACACTGACTCTCCTTACTCTACAGATACAGATACTTTTGTAACGGCTTTTTTGATCTGGGCGAAATTTTCCGAAAAAATTGCATGGCATGAGCTTACTGATATGCTGACATCCTCAGCAACTTCTCTAATAATAATTTGACGATTCTTCATAACAATTTTATCCCCTTTCTCGAAATTGTCATTGGTTTTTGGTTTTTTGAAGAGACCTCGTATTTTTAGTGAAGATCAATTTTTGGGTAAGAAAAGGTGTGCCTCTCTACTTCTCCATCAATATACGAAAAATGCGAGAAATTGCTTTTTGTATAAAGCTAGAGAAGAAGAGAGCCAATATCTTTCATACCCCAACAATTTCATAATATTCAGACCGTACTCTTCATAATATACTGTTTGAATTTCATACTCACTTATTCTCTTGAAGAGTTCCTGTATAGAAGTATTATTGCCGATGAAAGTGCCGCATATTTTCAAACCTCTTGGAGGAATATCACAAACTGCCGTTTTGATATTATTCGGAATCCATTCCACGAAATAAGAACTGTTTTTGTCTTGAATATTGACCATCTGTTCATCCACTTCCCTCGTAGACATTCTTCCTCTGAAGATTGAAGCAGCTGTGAGATATTTTCCCCTCCTTGGATCGCACGCTGCCATTAGGTTTTTTGCATCGAAAAGCTGATGGACTAGCTCCGGAACTGAGATACCTCTATATGGCATATTACCTCTGAATCCACAAAAAATTTTGTCAAAATAATTTTGAGAGTAAATTGGGGCTTTCAGGCAAATTCTGATTGGTTAAGTGTCAATTCATATTGTTCTAGTGTGTTGGTTATGGAATATGAATAACGATTTATGGTATCTGAAGACTGTACCGGGAAGAGGTACTAGAATAGTACTATAGAAAATGAAATATCGAAAGATTCATATCTCCCAATTATCTAAACCGTAGGTTCTGGTAAATGTCTGTCAGAAAACAACTACTTCCCCGGCTGATATCACGCTGGACGATGAATTATATCTGACAGACATTTATGCCAAATGCCTCGAAGAGGTTAATCTCGCAGATGTTTCTCGTCCACCCAGCAGCAGGGCCATGCTGAAATTATTCGGATAGATCACCTTCAGGCCGATAATAACTCAACAATAGTCAATATTCCAAAAATCCCCACTGATATGTTAGAAGTTGAAAAGCAACCACCCCAAGCTTAGGTTAGGTTAGCTGCAAAGTGAGTGGGTCTATTCGACCCTCCACCGCAACCCGCAAGGGTTTATTGTGGCTGACACCTATTCACACTCGACCAAATAAACCCAGCTTCTCAACGAAGCCAATTAGTTTGTATGGTGAGTGTTCTTTCAGGTCAGATGGTAAGAGCTCTAAAAACCTGATTCGGTTCCAAGCGGAACCGTAGTCGGATAGTCAAGGTGCAAGATTCCCACCTTGATACCCGCGACAACCTTCCCATGAAGGTTTTTTGCACGTCAGCTACACCTGACTATGCCTTAGATTCAACCGTGCAGGGATTTTCGCCTCTGATTTTGGTGAATCATCACTTGAGCAGCACAAACGTTTGCTAAACCTGCTTATGGGGGGTTTGTTCCCCCATCTGAGACTGATTCTGGGTACGCCGCTCAAGAATTTGGTGCAAGGCGGTTTTATAAGGTACTCCGCTCTTGAGTCATTTCCCGGCTGCATCACCAAACCTTTTTTTCAGGTTCATTTATTGGATCAGGAGTAGGGAAGTAGGAGCTCTCGCTCCTGAACTAAATTTACAGGGAGGTCAGTTGGAGTCGTAAACTCGGCATCCATCTCCTCTGTAGACTCGCTTCTGAACTAAATTTACAAGGAGGTCAGTTGGAGTCGTAAAATCGACATCCATCTCCTCTGCAGACTCGCTCCTGAACTAAACTTACAGGGAGGTCAGTTGGAGTCGTAAACTCAACATCCATCTCCTCTATAGACTCGCTCCTGATCTAAATTTACAGAGAGGTCAGTTGGAGTCGTTAGATCGACATCCATCTCCTCTGTAGGCTCAGCGTCAGAGATAATTTTTAAGTTTACTCTGTCCATAAAAGTCCCACGAGTAGCTAGGGAAAGTAGGTCAATTAGGGTAGAGCCCCGCATTACCATGACAAGGCGATGCTACAACGAGAGGGCGTCCAGTACCTCGAAGGGTCCGTAGAGCGGCTGATAGGCTCAGTGTTATTCATCCTCTCGGCACGGATACACACACCTTAGGATTAAGCCATCGTAGGGATGCCATTCAGTTAGGGAATAACAGAACCACAAGTGATTCTGTCATTCCCGTATAGATTTTTCAAAATAAAAGTACTTTACTCGTGTCTCAAAATCAAATATTTGAAGGCTCCTCGTATATTACGTATGTTTTACTGTATTTTGTTGGTGCATGTTTAGTTTTAGGGGATGCACAAACTTTTATCAAAAATAACTTTTTGTGGAAAAACCCTAAATAAATAAGTTTCCCATATGGTGCATACTTTGGGGATGACAATGTAGATTGTGTTCTTTCTAATGCAGTGATATTTTCCAAACAGCTATTGCCATCTCTAGGTTAGGCCGTGTCCTTCTGGGACCACCCTGGTACATACGTTTTTTATGAAAGCATCACTTTTTTAAACGAGTGAGTAAAAATTTTCGATGTTTCGAAGGAAACAATTTTTAGTATTATATCATATAGTCTGTTGTCATATTTTTTTAATTCTCATGATTTGGAATTCAAGTAAGTTTAATTAGATAGTTTACTCAATGGAACGCTACCTTGATGTTAGAGGAGCAAATCCTGGTATGAAGAAGTGTAATCTTGGAAAAGGTACCATATTGACTTGAATTTTCCTTAAATCTGCATTTAGCTGGCCAGAGAAACGAATGCAAGTAGTAACTCCTGCCATCACAGCTGAGATGAGATGATTCAAATCGCCGTATGAAGGATTGGATAACTTTAATGTTCTGAAATATTCAATATACGGTTTAATCAGGACGACATATATCGGAAACATAATTCACTAATACTAATTAATACAGTTTATTGTATTGTATGATTGTATAGCGAAACACATGTCACGGTTTTTGTTAAAACCTTTATAGTGAAAATCATTTAAAATGGATTTCATCAAGTATCGGCCAGTACTATTCAATAATTCACTAATGTTTTTATTTTCTTGTTCAAGAACTTTGAAATACAATTTCACGAGCAAAATATAACTTACTTTTAACACAAATATCATACAAAGTGTTTTGTACAGCTGTTCTGTTTCCATTTAGTATTTCTATAAAAACACATTTTGATATCTATTGTCAATTAACTATTTTCGTGTTATCGCATTTGCTGTGAAGTGGCCGTGTCAGGTGACTCCGTTTCACCTGCTTTACAGCTCACGCGTTTTATTTAAAGTCACATTCAAAGTCTTTGCTGGTGTTTAATATATANTAATATATATAATACATTTGTAACATAATTTAATTGTATTTATGTATTTATATCTATTGTTCATAATGAAACTTCCCTGAATATTGAATAATTATGTTTTGTTTATTGCTATTTGGTCGAAAAAATCATGTTGAAAATACTTTTATTTTTTTATTTTTATTTAGTCGTTGAAAATATTTTCAATACGCTACTTTGTAAACATCATCTTTTAATTAATACTCTTGACAACCATTAAAAAATTCACTTTCAATGACAGTTGTACAAAAAATTTGTTTTTGAACTGTAAATAATTTTAATTCAGACATACATCGAAAGCTATCGAAATTTCGAAAGAAGTGACATGGTCTACTTTAGCTTGATCTAATGTGTATTAAATGAGAGACTTACATTCGTTGTACGATATGTTAATGAACATACTCATTACATCCATTAAAACTAAAACTGAATTATGTGGCGTGGTTTGGTTACCTAATTTTCTACTGAAGTAAGCGAATTTTTAATGCCGTGACCTGAGACGAAACTGGTAATATTTTTTCAAACAACTTTTCAACATTTCTCATTTTTCAAAATTGCAACTCTCTGAAAAAATAAATATCCTTCTAGTTATATTTTTCCAGCCGGAGTTCGGAGAAAAGGCAAATCATTGAACAAATCAATTCTCAAAAATATTGTGTCGATATAAAATATATGCAAATATTCATCAACTGATGTACTTTTTGTAATGTGAAATAATATGGGTGAAAATATATACACTTTGTAGAATAATTTTCACTAATATTTTTTTTTAATTTTACGATAGTTACTTCTACGATACATGAATCAGCCAAAATTAAATCAATGAAGAATTATCACTTCTAAAACTTTTGTTATTTATTTTTTCAGGCCATTCATTTCCTCAGAAAACTCACTGAGATAATCTGGAAGTGTGGATAATTTGTAGAATAACAAAGTTTCAAGAGTCTCAAGAAGTTCGGTTGGAGATTTAAGCAATTAAAAGTTATGTAATCATGTAATTCACAAGTGACTTGCCATTTCCGTAAAGGGCATCTGACAAACACATAAATTGAACAATGCCATTAATCGTAGTCTACCGAAAATCTCTGATATACAGGGTGTTCCTCGATGATATGCAAGTATTCAGTGGTGTGAATTGGCATGAAAAAATAATGTTAGGTTACTATATAAACTGAGGTGATAATTCAGGTTATACTCTGATTATTCACCTCAACAATAATGGATTCCACACAATTGCATCTTGTAGACGGGCAAATTTGTGAACACACTGTACAATAGAGCGTAGGATGGGCTCAAATTAATAGAAACATGGTGTGAGGAACACTCACTGTCGATCAATCCCAAGAAGGCTGAGATGGTCCTTTTCACCAGGTAAAGAAGTTTATCGGGCTTAAAACCTCCAGAAATCTTCAAAGACAAACAACTTCTCTGACTCTCACCTACAGAGTAGAACAAAAAGAGCATATGTGGCTCATGAGCAATGTCGGAGGACAGTGGGAAGCAAATGGGGTCTTTCACCCCTTGTGCTCACCTGGATCTACACTGCAATAATAAGACCTATGTTAACATAAGGAGCCATTGCAAAGGGATCAAAAGTTCTACAAGCAACGGCCATCCAAAAATTATACCAAATACAGCGATTGGTTTGTTGAAACATCACAGGAGCCACGACAACTACACCAACCGCGGCAATGGAAATAATTACTGGTCTGACCCCTCTGAACCTGTACGTTAAGGAGGTTGCGTTAACGGCCATGTTACGATTGCGCACGGCTGGTGTAAACCTCGAAGTAGAAATGGGCCAATGGGCTCATTTAACAATTTTTTTTATTTCATAATTTGAAAGTTTATGTTTCAAATAGTACATCTGCAAAAAATCTGAACACCCATGCTCAATCCCTGGCTGGCGATGACCAGGGAAAACAGTAGAATTTCTGTCTGGCCACTGTCAACAAAGTAAACACCTCCATAATATGGGGCTAATGGACACACATCTATGCAGGATGTGTGAACAGGATGTGTTCGGTAAGTCTTGGCCTACACCTACCGATATAAAGGAGATGTCTCCTAGTGACCTGTCCACCTTCCTGGAAAGGCCTAAGTACTGTGGGCCTACACTCACCCTTCCTACTCTACAGATACAGATATTTACTGAGATCCAAACATGTTAAGTTACGAAATCACAATAAAAATGACCTCTAGCTGGAAAGTTAAATGATTTTTAAAGCTGAAAACAGTGGCATAGGCACAGACCTGTAACAAATATCGTGTAAAGCTTCATTATCTATGATGTAGGTTTCATCAGATGTCTCAATCAAACTCGAAATGGCCATAGTGGCGTTGTACGGTTCTACGACTGTGTCAGATACTTTAGGACTTGGTATTACAGTGAATGTGCTGATTATTCTATCAACATATTCTTCTCTGAGCTTCTCCAGAAGAAGGCAAGCCATGCCAGAACCAGTGCCCCCTCCTATGGAATGGACTATTTGAAATCCCTGCAAAACAAAACATTTCAATTACTAATTTCACTACTATTCTACAAATTGGTTTGACTTGTGGGTAGAAACAACTAGGTTTTTGTAATTTGTGAAAAAATTAACTCCTCGTCATCCGTTCTGGAAAGTGAAACATTCCATAACGGGTTGCAAAAAAGTGAGGCTTTTTGACATTTACAGCAATTTGTGAAATTGTAACTTTTTTATATCAGGATGACATAAAATTTACCGTTTTATTTTTTGTGACTGGTGACGAAAAAATTAGGTTGGTTCAAAAGTTTTGTCCGTTTGTATAAGTCTACTTTAAACTGTAATATTTCGATATAATCTAAATAAGCACCATAGGAATCTGTGTGCTTGTGCTAACGTAACATAACTCGAATCATTCCGTCAGCACATAAAGTATGTGATCGGGATTCGGTGGAGTCGACAAAGGTCATTTTTACCTGGTCCTGATTGGCAAAAGTTCTATACCGGAAAGAAAGTTATCGAAGTGCTTGAAAAGATGGTAGTCGCTTGGCGAGAGGTCTGAGGAGTATGGTGGATGAGGCAGAATATTGAGATGTTGAGCTACAAGAACAAAACTTCCGAAATAACCTGATGATTTGTTCGTAACTACAAAAAGTAAGTTGTTTCGACATCTGCTGCAGTTACCAGAAAGAATATAAATAAAATAACACAAGTATTGAACCATTTGCTATCATTAGCGGCAAATTTGCAGAAGACAGACAAAATCGAATGAACTTCAAAGTATCATTATACAGGGTGTAACACAAGTACGTTAAAATATGACGTATTCCTTAGATAATTTTAAGAAAAAGAGTATATATGAACTTGTGTCCGAAAATGCTTCGTTTCGGAGATACGGGGCGTTGAAATTGAATTTTTTTGTTCGTTTTTTGAAAATAACTCTTGCAAAAAATAAGTTATTTGCACGAAATTTGGTACCCGGGGGTTTTTTGACGTGGGAAATCATAATTTTGTATTAATTTTCATGTAACATCTAGAGGGCGCTGCGTACGCTGTCATTATTTATTTCAAATTGCCCTAACTTTTTTGACAGTAAACTTTTGGTACTTTTCATGAAA